AATCTGAACAGCAAGGCACAGGCCAGAGTCATTAAAAAATAAAGTTAGGATCTTTATGAATATCCAATAATATTCAAGAACAATTTTACCCCAAACAACAAACCTCCACAATTTATCTTTATTTTGGATGAAATAAATTTTTAGAATGAAATGAATGAATGAATTTGACAAAATTTTTAGAATCATTTGTTTTTCTAAATAAGATTCTTATTTTGCTCCCCACTTTTATTATCAATAAATAAACAAATATGATTAAACTTCTTCTCATAGAACCTAATACTGACCCAAATATGTTACAATGGAACCTCTTACTGCCATTTCAAAAAGCCTCAGACTCTATAGTTACACAACTTCAGGACTTCAGGTACCAGCAGATGATAAATGTTTAATCTTGTGTTTGACGAAGACTGAAATAGGAAGCCTTATGAAAATAGTTAATTTGTGTAGATAATGGGTAATACTTTCTCACATGACCATGTTTGCCATCCAACACTAATTATACTTTTAATAAAACATAAAAGAAAGTATTTTTGGCAGCTATATGCAGAAAAGATAAACACGATGAAACCATGAAGCTAACATACTTGGTCCCTGAATATGGCCTCATGCTTGAGTATTGTCTGTTTCAGAAGTTCCTTGTTGTAACCTAAAAGATGACAAGTTGATGACAATGGCGAGGATCCAAGTCCATAGCAGTCATCCTCACGTTCACCAGTATAATTAGATGAGGTCCATGTGCTGCCTTCTGCACTGAAGACAAAATCCCTCGGGGACTGATATCCTGGGATATAACCATTGTTTTGCCTGTTTGCACCCATGCCCAATAGTGCCATAGATGACAATGTAGAGATTTCAATGAAATAAGATATTATAAAGTATCCTCATTTTTAAGGGAATGAAAACCTGCAATCAAAACAAAAATAAATTGATTCTTAGTTAAATAATAATTAAGAGAAATATTTGATAAGTAATAAAAAAAAATACAGTTTAGACACCTGCTTTACTCTGGCTTACATAGGTTCTTATTTACTGAGAATACAAGATTGTTCGCTAAGGAGAAAAGGATTGCTCCAAGTAATATATATGTAATGTGCACCCAAAAAATAGAATAATTAGATTCAATTGGACTGTTTTGTAAACTGCTCACATGACCCACAGGGGAATTCCATTCTACAGCTAAATTATCTGACAAAACATTGTGAAGACAGAATAATTCTAGATCGTGACATTTCCATATGATGTCATAGTAATGAAGACCTGCAAAGAAATGTGAGCCCATCTGCACAACAAGAAAATAAAAATTGCCACAAGCCAACTTTAATCTTCGTGTCCAACACTATTTTTCATTTTGACATCAAATGTTAAGCACTCGTGAGGAATATACATTGTACATATTTAATCTAATATAGTATTATTTTACATAAATCTATAGACAACAGATTACTCAACGTCACCAAAAAAATCAATCTCGTCCAGCAGTATATATTCTCAGAGAATAATTTGGCACCAAACAATCCTCTCCATCACCTAAAAATGAAAATATATAGGTTACATGACAAACGGGTGAAGAATAGACAAGAGTCTATAACCGGCTTCACAAAAGAGAAATGGGAACACATGTAATGCTATGCAAGAGGGCCAGAAATTAAATTTCTTTCCTCCATGTCCCTCAAAAAGAAAACGTTTGATGTTTTAAGAAAGAATTTGGTTACGGTTAAAAGGATTTTCTAAATGGACAACAGAAAGGAATACAAAACTACCTTGCTTGCAGAAGCATTTAAAATTCAAGTTGATAAGCACAAGCCCCGGAAACAAATAACCAATTTTGTCACAATTGGCTTTCTCAAAAAGGGATTGGCACTTTTAAGTTATGATAGACATCAAATGTTTTTACGTCATAAATCCATAAGAGAGTGCAAATATTTCCTAACCAGAATTAAGAAACCCTGAAATCAACACTCACAAGTATCACTGAACAGGGAAAGAAGAGCACTGTGAATACACTAATAATGATATCAAAAGTTCATATAATGATAAGCACTGCATAAACTGCAGGACAAGCACAGAAGCACCAACAGCGATCAAAAGAATTTTCTGAATGAGATAGAGTTAGGCCAAATGTTATGGTATCAAGTCAATCAGACATTTCTGAGACAAATCTCACAGGCAAATCATATTTTGCAATCAGAATCAGATGCTCCAGACAAGGGTATCAAATCCATCCATCAGATAACCCAGCCAACGACACAAAAAAAACCAAAATATGATAAACAAGTATTTATTCTCAAAAACAAGTCCATCAAAACATTTCATGTACGGAAAAGTAACAGGAAGAATACTCAAGAGTAACCCGTTCACAAAAAAAACACAAAAACTTGCAAGGAAGGGTATACAACTTAACCCAATTACATAATCACCGAAACACATAGCTCAGTGTGAAAAGAACAAAAAAATACAGTCAAATTCAACACTTGAAGGAAGAAGCCACTGAATAGTAGTACAGAGAAGAAAATTTTAGAGCAAAAAAATGGGAAAATAAACAAGAAAATGTTGAAGAAACACGACATCATTGAAGAGAAAAAAAAATGAACTCGCTCACTCACCGGAAGAGTCATTGTTTGAGGGTAGTGGATACGTTGGAAAAAAAAAGATGAAGGAGAAGAAAGGCATTAATGTTAAAGCGAAAACAGAGAGACCCAGAAGAGGTTGGGAATCAAAAAGTGATCTTTTGCTTTCTGAGATGCCTTAGAAAAGCAGAAAAGAATGGGGATTTGGATCCGCAGTGCTGGGCCATTCTCTCAATGAAGATTTTGCTTTCTCTCAGAGAGAGAGAGAGAGAGAGAGAGAGAGAGAGACAGAGAGAGGAAAAACCCAAAATGAAACCCACAAAACAAACGAAATTTACATCAAATTGGAAATTAAAGTTGTCAATAACTTGTCTCTCTCTTCTCCGTCTCTTTCTCATTAATGTTTTTGCTTATTACAAGTTGCTTTTCTTTAATACTCCCTCCATTTTATATTTATTTGAGTTTTAAGTTTTTATATTAAGGAAAACAATTACTCCAACACAATAATAGCATCTTTTATGGTCAATTTTATCAAAATAGGTCTATTCTATTTCTTGATTTTTATCAATATGTCACTGACTATTAAAAGAGAATAATATTTATTTAGGAACAAGATTAAAATATAAATTTTGATACTTTATGAAAAAGTGAAATATCAATGAAAAGATAAATATTAAAACAACCATTATAAAAAGTTGAAGAGTAGATAGCAAAGAATGTATTGTTTCTATGCAAACGACTCTCGAAAAAACATTTATCAGATATGATTGAAAAACTATGTTTGTAAAACTACCTTGATGTTTCCAATTCGATATTTTAATTGGGTTTGGATTGTTACATTCTGTTTGGAGTCAGCAGTGGGTCCCTTATCTTAATTTTGAAGTAAGAAGCATGCAAACTATGTGAGCTTTAACCACCTATTAGAAGCGCTCCTACACTTTCTACCATTATTACTGTTTCTCCCTCACGCAATCAAAATCAAATAACCTTTTTTTTTTACAAAAAATATTAAAAAACTTTTTTTTCATTTTTTTAAAGTTGATTTCAATAATATTTAGTGTTTTTAATGTGTAATTACTGTTGTTGTCAATATAAATTTGGTTGTGGTTAATATATATTACAATTATATATTAATATATATATATATAATATTAATATATATATTATATTTGGTTGGGGTTAATAATTTTCCAAAATATTATATATATATATATATATATATATATAATATTTTGGAAAATTATTAACCCCAACCAAATATAATATATATATTAATATTATATATATATATATTAATATATAATTGTAATATATATTAACCACAACCAAATTTATATTGACAACAACAGTAATTACACATTAAAAACACTAAATATTATTGAAATCAACTTTAAAAAAATGAAAAAAAAGTTTTTTAATATTTTTTGTAAAAAAAAAAGGTTATTTGATTTTGATTGCGTGAGGGAGAAACAGTAATAATGGTAGAAAGTGTAGGAGCGCTTCTAATAGGTGGTTAAAGCTCACATAGTTTGCATGCTTCTTACTTCAAAATTAAGATAAGGGACCCACTGCTGACTCCAAACAGAATGTAACAATCCAAACCCAATTAAAATATCGAATTGGAAACATCAAGGTAGTTTTACAAACATAGTTTTTCAATCATATCTGATAAATGTTTTTTCGAGAGTCGTTTGCATAGAAACAATACATTCTTTGCTATCTACTCTTCAACTTTTTATAATGGTTGTTTTAATATTTATCTTTTCATTGATATTTCACTTTTTCATAAAGTATCAAAATTTATATTTTAATCTTGTTCCTAAATAAATATTATTCTCTTTTAATAGTCAGTGACATATTGATAAAAATCAAGAAATAGAATAGACCTATTTTGATAAAATTGACCATAAAAGATGCTATTATTGTGTTGGAGTAATTGTTTTCCTTAATATAAAAACTTAAAACTCAAATAAATATAAAATGGAGGGAGTATTAAAGAAAAGCAACTTGTAATAAGCAAAAACATTAATGAGAAAGAGACGGAGAAGAGAGAGACAAGTTATTGACAACTTTAATTTCCAATTTGATGTAAATTTCGTTTGTTTTGTGGGTTTCATTTTGGGTTTTTCCTCTCTCTGTCTCTCTCTCTCTCTCTCTCTCTCTCTCTCTCTGAGAGAAAGCAAAATCTTCATTGAGAGAATGGCCCAGCACTGCGGATCCAAATCCCCATTCTTTTCTGCTTTTCTAAGGCATCTCAGAAAGCAAAAGATCACTTTTTGATTCCCAACCTCTTCTGGGTCTCTCTCTTTTCGCTTTAACATTAATGCCTTTCTTCTCCTTCATCTTTTTTTTTCCAACGTATCCACTACCCTCAAACAATGACTCTTCCGGTGAGTGAGCGAGTTCATTTTTTTTTCTCTTCAATGATGTCGTGTTTCTTCAACATTTTCTTGTTTATTTTCCCATTTTTTTGCTCTAAAATTTTCTTCTCTGTACTACTCTTCAGTGGCTTCTTCCTTCAAGTGTTGAATTTGACTGTATTTTTTTGTTCTTTTCACACTGAGCTATGTGTTTCGGTGATTATGTAATTGGGTTAAGTTGTATACCCTTCCTTGCAAGTTTTTGTGTTTTTTTTGTGAACGGGTTACTCTTGAGTATTCTTCCTGTTACTTTTCCGTACATGAAATGTTTTGATGGACTTGTTTTTGAGAATAAATACTTGTTTATCATATTTTGGTTTTTTTTGTGTCGTTGGCTGGGTTATCTGATGGATGGATTTGATACCCTTGTCTGGAGCATCTGATTCTGATTGCAAAATATGATTTGCCTGTGAGATTTGTCTCAGAAATGTCTGATTGACTTGATACCATAACATTTGGCCTAACTCTATCTCATTCAGAAAATTCTTTTGATCGCTGTTGGTGCTTCTGTGCTTGTCCTGCAGTTTATGCAGTGCTTATCATTATATGAACTTTTGATATCATTATTAGTGTATTCACAGTGCTCTTCTTTCCCTGTTCAGTGATACTTGTGAGTGTTGATTTCAGGGTTTCTTAATTCTGGTTAGGAAATATTTGCACTCTCTTATGGATTTATGACGTAAAAACATTTGATGTCTATCATAACTTAAAAGTGCCAATCCCTTTTTGAGAAAGCCAATTGTGACAAAATTGGTTATTTGTTTCCGGGGCTTGTGCTTATCAACTTGAATTTTAAATGCTTCTGCAAGCAAGGTAGTTTTGTATTCCTTTCTGTTGTCCATTTAGAAAATCCTTTTAACCGTAACCAAATTCTTTCTTAAAACATCAAACGTTTTCTTTTTGAGGGACATGGAGGAAAGAAATTTAATTTCTGGCCCTCTTGCATAGCATTACATGTGTTCCCATTTCTCTTTTGTGAAGCCGGTTATAGACTCTTGTCTATTCTTCACCCGTTTGTCATGTAACCTATATATTTTCATTTTTAGGTGATGGAGAGGATTGTTTGGTGCCAAATTATTCTCTGAGAATATATACTGCTGGACGAGATTGATTTTTTTGGTGACGTTGAGTAATCTGTTGTCTATAGATTTATGTAAAATAATACTATATTAGATTAAATATGTACAATGTATATTCCTCACGAGTGCTTAACATTTGATGTCAAAATGAAAAATAGTGTTGGACACGAAGATTAAAGTTGGCTTGTGGCAATTTTTATTTTCTTGTTGTGCAGATGGGCTCACATTTCTTTGCAGGTCTTCATTACTATGACATCATATGGAAATGTCACGATCTAGAATTATTCTGTCTTCACAATGTTTTGTCAGATAATTTAGCTGTAGAATGGAATTCCCCTGTGGGTCATGTGAGCAGTTTACAAAACAGTCCAATTGAATCTAATTATTCTATTTTTTGGGTGCACATTACATATATATTACTTGGAGCAATCCTTTTCTCCTTAGCGAACAATCTTGTATTCTCAGTAAATAAGAACCTATGTAAGCCAGAGTAAAGCAGGTGTCTAAACTGTATTTTTTTTTATTACTTATCAAATATTTCTCTTAATTATTATTTAACTAAGAATCAATTTATTTTTGTTTTGATTGCAGGTTTTCATTCCCTTAAAAATGAGGATACTTTATAATATCTTATTTCATTGAAATCTCTACATTGTCATCTATGGCACTATTGGGCATGGGTGCAAACAGGCAAAACAATGGTTATATCCCAGGATATCAGTCCCCGAGGGATTTTGTCTTCAGTGCAGAAGGCAGCACATGGACCTCATCTAATTATACTGGTGAACGTGAGGATGACTGCTATGGACTTGGATCCTCGCCATTGTCATCAACTTGTCATCTTTTAGGTTACAACAAGGAACTTCTGAAACAGACAATACTCAAGCATGAGGCCATATTCAGGGACCAAGTATGTTAGCTTCATGGTTTCATCGTGTTTATCTTTTCTGCATATAGCTGCCAAAAATACTTTCTTTTATGTTTTATTAAAAGTATAATTAGTGTTGGATGGCAAACATGGTCATGTGAGAAAGTATTACCCATTATCTACACAAATTAACTATTTTCATAAGGCTTCCTATTTCAGTCTTCGTCAAACACAAGATTAAACATTTATCATCTGCTGGTACCTGAAGTCCTGAAGTTGTGTAACTATAGAGTCTGAGGCTTTTTGAAATGGCAGTAAGAGGTTCCATTGTAACATATTTGGGTCAGTATTAGGTTCTATGAGAAGAAGTTTAATCATATTTGTTTATTTATTGATAATAAAAGTGGGGAGCAAAATAAGAATCTTATTTAGAAAAACAAATGATTCTAAAAATTTTGTCAAATTCATTCATTCATTTCATTCTAAAAATTTATTTCATCCAAAATAAAGATAAATTGTGGAGGTTTGTTGTTTGGGGTAAAATTGTTCTTGAATATTATTGGATATTCATAAAGATCCTAACTTTATTTTTTAATGACTCTGGCCTGTGCCTTGCTGTTCAGATTCATGAGCTTCACCGTATTTACCAGAAACAAAAAGAATTAATGGATGAAATTAAAAGGATTGAGTTACATAAACATACTATAAGGTTGGAGACATCATCGTCAAGTTCCTCTTTGTATTACTCTCAAAATTTGCATTGGTTCACTAGTCAATCATCTATTTTAAATGCTGAAGGCATCCAGTTACCATTGGCTTCTATGCAAGAAATGAGCAAGCAATTACATCCTACTCCTGTTGCTGCTCCTGCCCCAGCTGCAA